TCTGAGTATGATGCGGGGTGTGCCCTGCCTGCCTGGAGAATAGGGCTGATCCTGGGGCTTGGAGACAGTGACAGAAGTGAGGGACTCACATCAGTAGGGCTGCATCGTTCAGTTGTATAGAAAGTCTCTCCTCTTGAAGCCGTGTGCCATGAATGTCCCTGGCAGGAAATACTTGGGAGCAGTGTGTTCTGTAGGCATTTTGTATGTGACTTCATAGGCAAATGGAAACCATCTGTTAGTGAAGGGTTTATTTTATGAAAACAGAGCTCTTTTAAATTGTGGCAAAATTGGAGAAAACTATACAAATGTGGTTCATCTATCGTCAGTTTTCTGGGGCTTTAACAGGTATGGTTTCACACATTGAAATGTATGTTGGGTTACAGAAGGAAAGTCCTTGACTTGGCATGTAGGAAAACCTTTTTAACAACATTCCTCATGAAAGGTGGTGGTTACCTACGTTGTGTTTTTGACCAGTTCCTTCATCCACGGATTCTTCGGGATCAATGCAATAATATGTTTTGGCATAACTTAGCGTAATTTGGCTTAGAAGGCCAGTAACAAGAAAGAGGTATCTTTCATGCTATGGACTCCTCCAGAAGGCTTCCCTGTTCTGTTCTTCCACGGGCTGTGGGATTTCCCAAGGCAAAGCCTAGGGCCTGGCTCTGGGTCAGTTCACCGGAGTGTGACAAGGCCAGGTGGGTGCACGGTGGTCAGCCCTGCACTGCTCCCTCCCACTCGGGCCCCTCTGGGCCCCCTGCCTCTTCGCTCCCAGGAGATCACCCAGAGGGACAGACAGAGATGACAAGCTAGAACCCTGGTCCCCTGGACAGCCAACAGTGGGGCGCCCACGCCTCGTCCGCAGGGAGGGGCGGCCGGGGGAGGGGAGCCGGCAGGTGTCCTGGCCTCTGAGGTTGGGGTATATGCGTGTGTGGGGTCAGTCCCCACTCTCCCACCGAGCTCTCTCAGTGCTCCTGGGGCTCAGGTCCCCCCAGGAAAGCGCAGGTCCGTTTCCACAGTGGATTATTGCTGCGGCATATGCAGCGGGGCATGGGGGGGGCCTTCCCCAGGCCGCATCCGGTCCTCACTGGGGCGAGAAGTGCGTCATGCTCTTCTCCATCTCTGCTCAGCCGCATGGACAAGCACCGCCCACCCACGTAGCGGGCACGACTCAGCACCGTGGGGCCCTCGTCCCGTGGCTCCCCGCGTCCGTTCCATCTCGTGTGCTAGCCTGTCTCATCCTGCGGCCTTCCGTGCGATGCTAAGCGTGCGCCTTTTCTTTCCCTGCTGTCTTCCTTGTTCGTGTCTCTTACAGCCTTAGCCCCTGGGGGCCATCAGCAGGGGTGTTAGCAGCCTCCCTCCTCTTCTGCACGTGCTCCCCACCGCACAGCTGCGCAAGAAGGCGTTTGGCCCCTTGGCGCCATCCTATAACTTTCGTCTTTCCTCCCTGAGCCCTTCAGTGCGTCTAGTGCTGAGCGGGTGCTCAGGGGGACCCTGCCCCGTGGCGTGTGTAGTCAGC